CCAGAGACCCAGAGTAAACAGAAGGTCAGGAGGACCAGGGTGACAGTTCCTACCTTTGATGCCAGCACCAGTCTTCACATCTAAGCGTTCTGAAAAACTAGCTCGCCTGATAGCTACTGTGATGGAAAAGCAGCCCTCTGCCCAGTCCTGTTTCCTTCCACCCACAGGAAGAACACTCCCCAGAAAATGCATTGGTGTTCCTTTTAGAGTCTGAGTTCCAGGGAATTCAGAAAACCAGGTAGAATTTACCTTGGAAGACGGATTTACTTGAATTCTAGAACAGCAGTCAGTAAATTACAGCCCATAGGCCAAAATGGGCCTCTATTTTGGTAAAGTTTTCTCAGCAGGGTCACACTCAGGTATTTGTGCATTATCTATGGCTGCTTTTGACTAAACAGTGGAAGTTGAACAGTTGCCATAGAAATCAAATGGCCTAATGGCTTGCACAAACTATTTTCTATCTGGTCCTTTATTTTTTTTAAAAAATTTTAATTTATTTATTTATATGTTATAGGAGCTCATTATGCAGCTTGGACTCATAGTGATCCTCCTATTTTCAGCCTTCCCAGCACTGGAATTACAGGTGTGCATTACCATACCTGGTCCTGGTGGCCAGCATGGTGCACCTAGGGTTCTGTGGCCAGCATGACATGCAGTACCAGAGATCAAACCCAGGTCCTTGCTCTTGCCAGGCACGTGCCTGGACCACCAGGCTATCTCTCCAGCCCTTATATGGTACTTTATAACACCAGACCAGACAAGATCAGACCAGGAAGGAAGAAAGGAAGAGAAGGTTGCTCACCCTGGTTCTAGATCATTTAGAAAAAAATGACATTTGTAAAACAAGACTTTCTCAAATGCCTTCTGACCCCTTCAGAAAAGACTTCCTGAAACAGGAGAGCTGCTTGTAATGTGGGTAATATAGAAATCCCCCTCATGGATACTGACAAGTATGTGTAACGTATGTGATTTAACGAGTTTTTCATTGACATAACAAAATAGTTGAGAACTTAAAAAGAAGAAAGACATTTTATTTACAGAGCTTTCAGGCCATGGTGCCCCTGACCCTGTTGTTTTGAGGTCCATGACAAGGCAGAGACATGGTGGAAGGATGGAGTGAAGAAAAGCTACTAAGGAAAGAGAGCAGAATGACAGGATGAAATATACTGTTCAAAGTCATACCCTAGTGATCTATTCCTCCAACTAGACCCATATCCGAGAGTTCCCATCACCTCCCACTAGCATGAACCAAGTTTTAAACATACGAGCTTTGGGAATATTTCAGACAGAAAACCATATTGTGTTGTCTTCCCTTAAGAGATATAAGTGCAATAAGGCTTGCTCGCTATTAGACACCGTCAACTGCACACCCATTTGGTGATATGCTGGGAATTCTTTATTTTCTGTCATTCACACCTTTGCCTATCAGCAATGCCAAATCACACTGGGGACTTATCAGAACCATTGCCCTGACCAAGAGCATGCCAAAGTGGAGGGTTCACTACGGAGCATCAGACTGGCATAGACATGTGTGGATGCAATTTTCCTACATCTGTTCTGTACCTGACATTAGAAGATTTTGCTCCATTTTCTTGGGGTCTCTTCGGAAATGAGAGACCTTCAAAGCTAGACCACGGATAAAAAACAAAATTGACAATAAGCAATGTGTGTACATCAAAAAGGTTTCACATATACACAACCAGTGAGGTCAGAACCATTTGATCCAATGTTATATCTATCCGCAGAACAACACAAACAATTGGATTTCAACCTGGGGAGGATTCTGAACTGATAAAATTGAATTGCATCAAATAACATGATTTTGTACATTCTGTCAGAAATTACTTCCCCCACCCAACACTAGTTTTGCTCCCTATATCCTCGGGCAGTCTTCATATACCACCACCCACAGTGATAGTGCAGGTGGGCTGACCACTGAGAGTCATCACTATCCTGATTGCTCTACCTAAGGCTGCCCCTGGCAAGGGCCCAACAGGAGCCATGCTGAAGCACAAGCACTTATCTAGCCACATGGATTTGGGCAAGTCATTTAATTCTCAAGCCTCGCTTGTCTTGCCTACAAAATAGAAATAATGGCATTCCTTTACAGAATGGTTTGAATGATTCAATAACGGGTATAATCCAGAGCCTGGCCCCCTAGGATCTTCATAACATATGTTGTGGTTATAGGTAACATGTTGATAATCAAGATGAAAATAACAATGATAATAAGCCTGTTATCTAAAACTATGTGTACAATGCCCACCCCCATGGCACCAAAACGATGCTTACAAGAGTAATGATAAGGCATCAAGGAACAAGGGGATGTATAAAAAGAGAATTACCATTCCTTCAGCACCAAAGGAGAATAGGTACCCATGCGCCTATTGGAAAGCTATGTAGCAGTAGACAGAGCCTATCTGTACTACATGAAGTGTTTCTCCTTTTCCCTGATCTTGGAAATCTTTCTGAGTGTATGTCCCAGAGGCTCATGGAAGAATACAATTTATAGGACTTTCTGTTTACCTGATACCTAGAACTAAAATTGCCTAACCTTGGTTTGTAGAATCTCCCAGGTAGCTGAAAGTTAGTAAGCTAGCCTGGAGAGGATCCTGTTCAGGAGGTATTTTGGAATCCTTCAAATAAAAACAATCAGATGCGATGACTATGAAGCATGAACACCACTAATAGCATCGGTAGCCATGGGTGGCTGTCAAGAATGCCTCAGATATGATTCCAGTTTCAGACAGGAAAATACAAACAGATCCACTGAGTTTTAATGAGCTCTGCCACAATCTGAAAGCTCTTGCATTAAGTCTAAAAAGCTCTATCAAGACTGAATGTCAGTAAGCTCACCCTTAAAACACTGTGCAAATTGTGCAAGGAAAGACTGTGGTCATTAAAGTCAATGAATTGTGCTTATAAATTGTAGGTACAGATTCTATAGCATGGACAGAAGTGTCTTGTCACCCAAGAAAAAATACAGTTCCCTGGAAATTAGTTTCTGAACGAGAGTACATCCAAGTCCAGCGTGTGTGTGTGTGTGTGTGTGTGTGTGTGTGTGTGTGTGTATTGCTATATACTAGACATATGAGCCCCAAATGGTGGCCCAAGTTCTGTGGCCTTTGACATTATAATGCAGAGACCCAGAGTCCCATACATAGAGCCTCTTTGCCTTGCAGATTATGTCTGGAGTGGGTAGAACAAAATTTGTTTAAGACTGAAGATCTTCAAAAGTACCCAGTTGACCTCTTGCTCTCAGTACTAGAGGAGAAAATAAGCTCTCTTGTATCACTTGTCCACATTCAGTGAGCTAGAAAATATGAGATTGGCAACTCTTACAAGAGGTGTTTAAGGCTCCCGTGGCTTCTGTGAATCTTTCCCCAAATGGGAGAACGAGACGACATGGTGCAGAGCCACTTAGTACTCCAGATGTGAATCCCTGGGATATGTGGTTATTCTTAGAGATGTTGGGCTGTGGAAAGTAGATTTAACTTACACTATATGCCTAAGAAAATCCCTTACAAGAATAGCCATTTCACAAAGACATATTCAAAATTCTCTGCAACAAAGCCAAAAATAAATTGGGGAATTTTCACTGCCTTTGCTGCTCTGCTTTGAGATAAATGTTTGAGATCGAGCCTGTGTTATTTTTAAAGATCCTTTGGAGAAAACTGTTATAAATTCAAATTATTGTTTCACATCAAGAAACGGTATAAAGACAAAGATGTGCTTTCACTGGTAGCACGCGACACTGCAGGTTGATTATTTCTGGAATCTTCATCAATAAGGAAGATGAAGTGCCTAGCTTGAGCAATTTCTTTAAATACTAAAATGGGGTTTATCTTTGGAACATGAGTAGCTGCTTGAATTTTCTTTCTTGCAGTAAGTCTGTAACACTCAACTGCATTCGATGGCTTAACCAATCTGAAAGCATGTCAAAATTGCTTTAAAAATTTCTGAGCATCCAATATATACACACTTGTTAAAATTAATTAGATCATTTAACATTTCTATGCACATTATAGTTTTAAATGTTTTACAGTCATTTTTATTAATTAATAAAGCTTTAATGGACAAAAATTGCACCATAAAATTATAATGCATATGCTGTATTTTCAATTTTACTACTATTATCTTTAAATATTTTCCAAGTGGAAACTCACTAATTTACAAAACATTCTCTCACAGTAGAGCTAAAAACCAGAGGTTTACAAAGAGAAAGAAATCTGATTGCTTTTCTCCCCGACCTGTTTTCTTCTCTGTTCTTCTTGTGAAGAATCTCAGAGCAACCCACCTTGAGAATTCTGCCTGTCTTGGAAGTGGCAAAAACAGTAACAAATCCCAGCCAAGCTCCCCAAGAAGATATAAGCCAACTCCAAGAATTACTATGCTTCCATTTGGCATGGACAGTCTCCAACTTTCTTTAGAGCATGTCCTATAGTTACTGTATATACAAACACTCATACATATACACTTCCTTATGAAGCACTGTGGTCTAGATTTTTATATTTATGAGGCCAGATAGGCTATCTCATAAATATCAACTAAGTCACTGAAAAGTTAAAAGAATTATGGACACACCCAAAGATGCAGACGGTTGACACCAGAAAGTCCAAACATCTGACTGCAGACGTGGATACTTATTACCCTACTTTGGAACATGCTGCCGGCAGGTCTAAATTAGCTTTTGGGGGGACCAGGGGGATACCACTTCCTACTCCTTGCATGTGGCCTGGCACAACTGCTGGCAACAAGAATTCAAGAGAAGCTCTCTCCTAACCTAAAAAGGCTCATCTAGGAAATCTATCCTATCAGACAGCGACACTGAGCTATCAGTTGTCAATTTTAAGCAGAGAGATCAAAGCAACTCTTCTGAGAAGGGCCCCTTGGAATAGACTATGTAAAAGAAAGTCCATTTTCCCGGTAGCGGAGCGCTTAGACAGTGACCCTCTTTGCCTGGTAGCTGACCTCTCTTAGGGACATGGAGCATCACTCACCTGCCCTGTAACTCCAGCCAGGAATGTGAATGGACAGTTGCTTGTGGCGACCATCGGCTGGAAGAGTTGTGTGGTGGCCTTTCCCTTTTCCAACAGTGACCTGGTCAGTTCCCACATCTGCGATTTCTACTTTTTCCAGAGGAGGACAGTCACTCCAAGGACATGCACCAGTTCCCAAACATACCGGACCCAACGAAGGGTTTTCCTTCGAGTGACACTGTGGCAAAGCTGGATTCCAGGGCGAGCCTAGGAGGTGCTGGTTTCGCTGGAGGAGCTCCTGCTTCAGGGCTCTGTTTATTGGCTCTCCGTTAGCTATGCCATCTACTCCATCTGCTGTTAACCCGTGGGAACTACAACTAAGGTTGAGCGACAGGACGGATCTGTGCATTTGGGGAGTGACAACTGGGCCTTGCTCCACAGGCACAGAGAGAGACTTGTCCAAGTAGTAGATGGACTCTGGACACTGCCGAGACACCCGGAGGCGGACACAGGAAGTAAACACCAGCGGGCCTTTTCCGGCAGGCGGGGAGTCTGGAGTGAATCTGCTCTCTTTGCTGTCCACGTGTGTGACCCAGTACTCGTGATCTGCACACCTCCGAGTGTGCACTTCAGGGACCTTCACCCTCATCACTGAGCCCTTTGTGGAGAACTCGGTGCAGGCGAGAGGCCCGTGGTGTGGACGTGAGTGGGGGCCGCCAGCCCGGGCGGAGGGACCCCGGCGCAGAGCACCGTCGACCCCACACTTGGGGCACAGAGAGTCCCCGACAGTGCCCCACACCAGGGCCCCGGCCGGGGGGCCCACACGCCGCGCCGTGATGGTGATCGACGCGAATCCTTGGCGGGGGCGGCCGCACACGCTGTCCCCGGAAGAAGACACGTCTATCTCTGGCCCTGGTTCATCTGCCGGCCTGGGAATTCCCAGTCTGTCCGGAAGGAATGCAAACGCCCTGTGGATGTTGACGCCGCTGCAATGAGCCGAAGCAGGCTTCGCGAGACACTCTCGAGGCTGAGCCATCGCGCAGGGCAGGGGCAACGCGGCCACATTTTCCTTTGATCTGTTCTCATCGATCAGCTGCGAAATGACTATGGATGAGATCATTTTGGTGTTTTGTGATGCCAGAGTTTCCTGCAAATGGAAAAAAAAAAAAAACAATTATTGAAGCAGCCCACTACAATACAGGCTGTAAACTTTCGAGGGTCATCAGGAGGCCAGGGAACTGGGTTCATGACACGGATTTCTTGTCCAGGGCTTTTCAGCGCACACCTGATGGCCCCTGTGAGTGTTCACAAGGGCAAGAAACCCAGCTGTGTTTATGAGAAAGCTACGTGTTCTACAACCATCCCTCTGACCAGTGGATTGGTTTTCCCTGCTTGGTCTTAAATTATTGTCACTGGAAATGATTAGACTTTGATAGTCATCTCCACCTGACACAAGAGTCCTCAGATACAAGTTAACAACCTCAATGAAGAAGATAGTTCCTACCTGAAAGAGGGCTGGGACTCAGGGGGTGGTGGCACAGGGTTCTGTGGGCAAGCAGTTAGCACTCCCGCCTGGAAACAGTCCGCACGGTGACCTGGCACGTCCTTTCCACTGAGGTCAGTCTCAGTGCCTGCCCCACCCCCGCTGATTTAGACTGTAATTCCATTATTTCCCTGCTGCTTGGCATCACAGGAATCCGAATCCAGTGTGGGAGACAATGACAATCACATGCCCAAGTGCAGGCAATTAACCACAGAAGAGACTGACAATCGGGACCTAACTTATCAGGATGGGTGAGGGTGGACCAAGAGTGATTAGTACTACTAGCCTCATGTTGCTGCGTTTCAACACTCACCTGTGTAAGCACGAGGTTTTGTCCACTATTTTCAAATGATCAAAGCATTTCATGCTTCCTAATCAACAGACTTTAAGTCCTAAACAGGAAATCACTGGTGTGTCCAAAATGTGTAGTATAATTTTAAATAAAGCATCACACCAGGTTGAGACCAGGAAAACAAGTTTCTTCTGATCTTATTTATTTTTAATATTTATCTAAAAAGCTCTGCAAAGAGTAGTGTCTTGGTTATGTTCCCATTGCCGAGAGAAAATACTCAACACCCAAAGTTAAAGGATGAAAGGTTTATTTAGCTCACAGTTTATAGAGGTTTTAGTTCGCAATCAGCCGGCTCCAGGGCAGGGCAGGAGGCAGCCAGCCTGCCTTTCATCTTTCTTTTTATAGTTCCTTCCGGCTGCAAGCCTATTGGTTTGTGCCACGCACATCCAGGGCGGGCCTCCAGTTTCCCACACCCAGAACTACCCCAAGGGAATCAGAGGATTCAAGCAATTATCACCAGTTCTTCGACCAATTGTATTCACACATCCTAGATCCAGCCACCTTGGGAAAGCTCCACCTACCAGTGCATGAGGTTTGAGAGGGACAGATTTAGACATAACAAATAGTGTGGAAGGCTAACCATACCCTAGTTCTTAGTGGATCTGAACAGGGTCCAGGGCCTTCTTTTTGAAGTCTTTATTCCTGCTTGCAATGAACTATTGCATGGAAAGACCCAGAATAATACAAGAAACTACCAAGTTCCTGCCAGTTGTGAACAGCCTTTGCCTTTGGGGTCTAGAGGCACTCAGCCCTTCAAGCAGACCTTGAACTCCAACGTGCAGAAGAATCACCCAAGATCGTACCCATTGCAGGTTGCCCAGCTCAGAGATTCTGATCCCAACTGTGAGTAGGATCCAGGCATCTGCATTTTAACTCACATCCCAGTGACTCTTATGTAGGAGATCTGGGGGGCCCAGTCGGAAAAGAACAGAGTCGTGAAGCTGCTGGTTATCTTAAGAGAATACATTTCTAGAGAACTGTGTATGTTGAAGGACAAGATATTTATCTCTCCTGAGATGCAATAAACAGGCATGGTGATAGTTTTCTTTTTTGTGGGGCAGGACTAATAACCATTTACTCAAATAATTTAGTGTTCTTTTTTTTTGGGGGGGGGCAGAACCGGGGATTGAACTCAGGCCCTTGCACTTGCCAGGGAAGTACTTATTCCACTGAGCCATCTCCCCAGCCCCAAATGGCAGAAGGATTTTTTTTTTTTTTGCTCCGAATGCCTGCAGGGCAGGTTTGGCTGGCTTGAGTTGTGGGGATCAAACCACAGCAACCTGAGCCTGACTGCTTTGTTGAAGCAGCCACTTAAAGAACTGAGCTAAGGGGCAGGCCCCCCAAGTGCTCTTTTCTAGCTGGACATCAGGCTCTTCATGTCCACCTGGCCAACAGAGGTCCAACAAGTGTGACCAAGCTACGCCCAGCCCCATGTCCTTCATCCCACCTCCATTACCTTATGCATTTTTTTTTGTTTTAAGATCTATGTAATCTGAACAACTCATTTGAAGATAATGACATGTAATTGAGCAAGAATTGTTGAATTCCTATTCCTTTGGTGAAATCTTGTATTGTTTCTACTGCTGTTCTTTTTTCTATCACTATTTTGTATTCTTTAAAAATAAAGATCTATGAGAAGTTGCAAGTCCAAAAGATTACAGGAGATGAAGAACAAAAAATGCATTTCATTGTTTTAAAAATACACTTGTTTAAGAGGTAACTCATGGTTTAAAAAAATTGAAATACCTGTGGCTCTAGGACAAGAAAAAAGACATCCAAGTTCTCAGCCTCACTGCTACCTCCCCCTTTAAAGTTATATGGTGTGCGTTCCTCCCACAAAGGGGTCTTCAGTGCACCAGGCTTGGTGGAAGCCCTGCTGTGGGTGGGCCTCCTCTCCAACAGTCCTTAGGTCATGCTGCAGAACAGTCCAGCAGCTGGTAGAACCCCAGCACCCAGGCGTCATCCCCCCACTTTGACAGTAGAATCCTGGGTTGGGGGCAATATCAACTTTTTTACATCTCTTCGTGTGACTCCAGCAGGCAGACCACACTTCTGCTACAGTCCCCCCACGCCAACCCTTTCCTTGGAGCCCTTTTCCTGGCTGTGATTTATGAACAAGAAAACTAAAGTGCACCTGGTGCCTATTTGACTGCTCACAGTCCCTTCCATTTTAGTTAAATTTAGTTCTGATAATAATTGTTCCCAAGAACCCCACAAGGTATATAATCATACCTGGTAGGAACTGCTTTGCCATTGGTCTTTGGAGGAAAAATTAAATATCTATCTTGGAAATGGCAGCACAAGTCTTATTTTAAAGTTTGGGCCAATGACTACCTGCATAAAAGCATGCCTGGACGGGATGTAGATTTCTTAGAGCAACCCTCCCCTGGGCCAGGTGAAGCAGGGCCTGGGTAGACAAGGCCCAGAATTTGTGGTTTTAAATAGTTCTCCAGTGATTCTTCCACATGGCTGCAATGGAAAGGAGGCTGAGGCGACTTAGGCCCCCCGGGGTACATCCTGAGCTGTGATCTCACACTAGCTCCAGGACAATAGACCGCGTCGTAGTTTCAACCACTGTAAAGCGAGGAGAAGACAAGAGTGATGTCTGTGGAAACTCTAGCTTCCCTCCACTGAAATCTCTGACGTAAGGGAGGGTGTATTGATAGGTGTGTTAGCTCAGCTTGGAATGGAAAAATCCCCAGTTCTGTTGACATGGTGTGTGTCACTCCCTCCAGGGGGACTTCAATGCACCTGGCCTGCTGTGTGCCTTGCTGTGGGTTGGCCTCCTCTCCAGTGGTAGTTAGGCTGCACTACAGAACAATCACAGCAGCTGGAAAAACCTCCCAGTTTTACAGTAAAATCCCAGGGTGGGGGCAGGGGATGTTGGTCTGGCTCCACACCTGGGCTTGGACAGGGCTCTGGCCAAAGCTCAGGGACTACACCTGGGGAGATTATGCATGCTGGGAGCTGCAGAATTCAGGTGCCATTCCGGAAGGACCCAGAAGCCAGGGCAGATGGGACAAGGACTCCGCACCCAAGTCATTTCCTGGGGCCTGGCAAATGTGACTGTGATTCTGACTCTAGCAAAATAAAAAGGAAGCATAATAACGAACAACGTAAGTTTGAACCTGTCTTTGAGGCTCTGGAATTGTTCTGTAGGTCAACGTGACACTATTCTTGGGTGATAAACACCAATGGTGGCCCAGGTCCACAGAAAAGTCTGTCCTCTCTTGCTCATGGGGAAAGTATGGAGAATGAAAGAGGTTAACAGGTATGAAAACGTCTCTCAGATCTGAGGGTGCTGGGCAACTCTACAGAGTTACTTCTCTATTAATCAGAAATTGGCAGATAACTGATATAATCAAACTTCTACAGGAATGAGAGTCTGTGCTATCAAAGCTGCACCATATTTTGCAGGGCATTGCATGAGTCTATTGAATTTGTCTGTATTGAATAAATAAAAATAATTCCATACATTGAAATTGTGTCATATGAATGTACAGATAGTCTATGTGAGGTACAAATTGTATTATTCATAATAGACAAATTCAATTACTTATTTGACAAATGTTTGTTGAGCACTTATTACTTGTAGGCACCATGCTGGGAACTAGGGACATTCCTAGTCTCATGGAATTAAAAATCTGGTATTACTATCAAGTAGGTCAGCAATTTACAGGGAAAGGGGAATTCAGCTTTGGAAAGAGCGCCCAGAATAAAGGGCGACAAATTTCAAAGGAGATTCTGAACCCTTTGTTCTTCAACATGCACAATCCTATTGGCAGTTCTATGTATCAAATCCTTTTTTTCTTGTAGAGGCACGTTACATAGTCAAAGACAATATCTAATTTTGGGAAGGTCTATGCTCTCCTGCTGCAAGTACCATGCCAACATCCATGGGCCCCTGCAGCACGCAGCAGCAGTCTGTTATCTCACAGTCCTGGAGGGTGGAAATCTGAGATCAAGTGGCTGAGGCAGGGGGCCCTCTGCGACTTCTCTCTGGCTTAAGATGCCAACTTCTCCCAATTTTCTCACGCAGTCTTCCCCTATGCCAGTCCATATCCTGTTCTCCTCTCTTTTTTAATTTTTAAAAATTTATTTATTTATTTATTTATTTCAATACAGGGTCTTGCCACATAGTTCAGGTTTATAGTGATCCTCCTGTCTCAGCCTCCCTAGTGCTGGGATTATAGGCACATATGACCATACCAGGTTTCAGGGCCAGCACACCACACCTGGGGTTCTGGGGTTAGCATGGCATGGGGTACTGGGAATCGAACTCAGGACTTGGGATCAAACTCAGGCAGGTGGTGCATATGCCATGGAGCTATCTCCTCATCCCTCATCTCTTCTTATAATACAGTACAATACCAGTTGTATTGAATCAGGGCCCATCCTAATAAGCTCATTTTAACTAGATTATCTCTTTAAATATCCTATTGCCAACTATGATCACATTGCAAAATGATGGGGGTTAGGACCTCAACATGTGAATTTGGCAGGAATATAATTCAGCCTACCACAGACTATGTGCCTATGATTTTGTTTCTATACCTTCATCTGGGTCTGGGAAATCAAGAAAGATAAAGAGTTACTTAATGTTCCTAAGTCAGTTACTGCTTTTATTAAAACGACATAGGTTTAAAACTGTAATCACATTTTTTTTCTGGCAAATGCCTGACACTGCATCTGCCTTTCAGTCTGGGTTAACTGTACATGGCCTTGCAAAGAGAGTTCTTTCATCTAAATAAAGTTAACTGGTGTAAGATTTGATTGGAAAGGAAGAAGAAAATCATCTTGTATTCAAAGTACTATTTAAGGTCAAAGATAGGTCAGTTAAATAGCTGGGTTTTGTGTCTTGCTTTGCCAGTAAGCTATTCATTTCCTAACCATCACCATCCTGCGCAATTTTACATTTTCTTGCTCAAAGATTCTGCTTTAAAATATTGATTTCTTTTAAATGTTTCAAATAAGATTTTGTAGAGCTGGTAACTGCTTTCATAGTTTTATGCTTTTTATTGACTGTTTTTAACTTAATATTTATACCTTAAGGCATAGTACTAAGAAGGGCATCATTTCATAAATTGAAGAAAGAAGGAGATAAGGAGTAGATGATTAGAGAAATCAGATCCCGAGTCACCGGAGTGTGGATGCCCCTATTCCTGTAGCAATTCATTTCTCCAAAGGATAAACATCTAATCTGATCCACACCTTTGAAATCTGTGTTTTTCTCCACAAGACAATTCTTTGCTCTTCCATGGCTTCCCTGCAGCCTAAAACTGTATTTGCCAGATAGCATCTGGGTGCATCTCCACACAGCTAAGAGGGTTCCCTTCACATCCACTGCAAACCTGCTCACCCCCATGAAGCAGATCCAGGTCACCCTCACCAGGTAATCTGTCAACCCAGCATCAGTTCATTCCAAATGCAAGAGCATTGTCAGATGTGTGCGTTTGCCTTTCCATCGAGCAATGGAGAAAGGGTTTTTAAGACAAATGAAAAAAAAAAAAAAAACACATTCTTCTCACCATCCATTGTGAAGCCATTGTCTCTCTGTTGTGATTGAAAACCCCAGGGTTCATGCAGTGTAATCTGCAGCACTGAGAACCTGGAAATAATTTTTTGCCTCAAGTGTTTTCATTGTGGCAAAAGAAACGCAAATTGGAATTTCCCATCGTAACCATTTCAAGCACACATTTCAGTAGTATCAACACTCACCGCGGTGTGTGGGCATCTAATTCAAGAACAACTTTTCATAGTGCAAAACAGATACTCTGTATGCATGAAATAAAATACCCCCGTATCTCCTCCCTGTTGTCCCTGGCAATAACCAAGAATCAACATGCTTTAAAAAGGGGCAGTGGGTAAACAAATTGTGGTAGATGCTGCACCTTGTATGGTACAGGAATTAAAAATAAAAATATAAACAACTTCAATGACAAGAGAATTTGCTTTTGATAGACTATTATGTATAGTTGAGCAGTATCAATGGTGAAATACCTTATAATCTTAAGCTTTTGCAAACAAAAAAAATACACGGGAAAATACTGGAAAACATGCATTTCTATCTGTTCCTGTTTCTACATGGGGTTGTGATGAGTTTTATCATAAAAACTTAGTTTTTTGAAGAGGAGAAAAATGCCTCATATCTCACTCTTTTAAATAATCACTTGGCAGAAGAGGTACCTGCATATCATCGCTATAGCTTGATGCATTTTGGAAGGCAAAGCGATCAATCTCGTGCAGGCTCTGGAGAGCAGGAGAGATTGATGGCGCTTGCACGGGCAGGGCATCTGTTGGCATGCCTCGTCGTCTCACAGCCACCACAGAGCACACCCATGTACAAGCTCGAAAAGCTCAAAGTTAGGAGGGAAATTTGAAAGTCACACAACTGCTCAAATTAGCCAGTCCGAGTAATTCCAGGACAAATGGCTGCAAGGTGCGATTTCCAGATGTTCACTGGGGCTCAAAAAATGCCCAAGTTGTGGCTGAATGACTGCAAGTGTGTGTTGTGGGGATCTGTCTGCATGGCCCCCAAAGAGCTACATTGGTGTTAATGACCAAATGCTGAGTGTTCTTGATGTTACCAGGGAGGTGCTCAAAGTTACCAGCTCAGTGTACAAAGCAAGTGGGAAAAATAGAAAGCTGGTTTATTTCTTTTATTAAGAATAGTAATCCAGGGTTGGCCAAATAGCTCTGCGGATTAAAGCTCCTGCAAGTGAGCACAGGGGCTGGGGGTTCAATCCCCAGGCCTGCTGTGCTGGCCCTGCCCCCAGGGCACTCTGGGTGTAGTGGCGCGTGCCTATAATCCCAGCTGATGGGAGGTTGTAAACAGGTGGATCACTAGGAGTTCGATCTAGTAGTGAGACCCTAAACACCCTGTAGACCCTCCCCTAAAATACAAAAAGAAGAAAAGTAATCGATCTCAGTGCTCCCCCAATCCCTGTGACTACTTCCATCCCCTCCCAGCCTCATCCTCCCCGCCTCCATTCTCAATAACCTCCTTTTCTTCATTTTCGGTTCCCTCCCTGAGGGCTTTTGCTTCCCCTCCCAGGGAACAAATCAATTACAACCACACATATTTATATCCTGAGACAGTGAGCTTGGTATTTCCATACAGAGAGGGCTTTGAAGATCAATAACTAAATCTCAGGGCCCAAAATAGCATCTATTTTCCACCTTATGGGATTCAGGGCCTGGGTTACTTTGTTATTAATTGGGGTCCATGTAGAGCTTTACTAAATGCAAAACTAAACCAAAGGAATACCTGAGTCAAGGACTTTGAGGGAAATTTTTAACAGATACGTTGCTATTTATGTCTGCCACAAGAGAGCAATTTATCTCATGTCCCTTCCTCTTAGAATTATGAAAGCTGGCAGTAGAATCTCCATGTATGGCAGACAGCAGATCTGTAGCAAACTGTAATGACTCATGGAAGTCTTCCAGGTGAGAAAGTCCACACGCTAAAGCTCTGCTTGCTAGAAGGAGCTTCCTCTGCTGCAATCATTAAAACAGGTCAAGAACAGAAACTTCAGAGCCAGAGTTAGCACATGATAAGTTAGCTGTTAACCACTGTGTTGAATCTTTTATCCTCTAGATCCTGAAGCATTGTTATATAAATATCAAGTTTTTCCTTCTTTCATACCACAGACACTGCAGTTAAAACAACTATACTATCTTATTAGACTTCCAAGTACTACTTCTTGACCTTCAAAATGCTATATGTTATAATAGTCCATATATTATTTTCTCTAACAGGTTGACTTTGGTGTAAAATTAATATCAATAACTACATTCTGCTATTATTCTGGGAATTTATACATTGCTGGGAAAATTATTAAAGAATTCCTAAATACATGCATTGTATACTTTCATACAATAATTCTTTGTCACTGTTGGCTAGATTTTCAGTTATATTAATTCAATTTCTGACTCAACAAAATAAAATGCAAATACATCACAAATCAGCCAGCAGTCACATTTTATAGTTGAGTTCATTTTGCTGACTACTCCAGAAGTTACAAATGTATATTACCTTGGTGAAGTCAGATTTCCTCTCTGTAACATCAGACTGGAGACTCCTAAGGGAAATTGGATCTTTTATACTGTAATGGCTGTCCTGTAACCCTAGACAAAAGGAGATAATATTGCTACTTTTAGTACATGAAAGGATAAGATGGGATATATAACTTTAACTTTACTATAAAATTTAATGTCCCCTATTCATGTTATACTAGCCAAGAGTGAATTCAGTGTATTTCAACCAATGATAAAAACCTTGTATATTTCCCTTGTTTATTCCACCCCATTCCATTTATAATCTGAGTCCATTATTATTTAGTTTATGAAGCTTCAAGATTCCTTCTTCCACATAGTTGTTTATGTCCCTTGAAGTCAGTAATAATTGAACAAATATACCCTTACCACATTCTCTGGTGTCTTTAGTTACACTCAGCAAAAGAGAAAATCACATCCATGGATTTCCCAGCACTAGCACAGTTAAGAAAAGTGGAAATACAAGGCAGACTTCCATAAATCTCTCAACCCAGATATTACTGGAGGGCAACAGAAGACACTGATACTGATAGCAAAACTGCTCTAGAATATATGAGGTTAATTTTGAAATAATACCATAAGACACTATGCATGTAATCCTTAAGGTGGGCCTTTCCAGGAGTACCAGCCACAAGGGAAGCTAAGAATAATGTCAGGCGTAAGGGCAATGGATATGTTTACAGAAATACCCAGCCTAAATTTCCTCATACACAAAAGCTGTCCTGCACTGAGCCTTAAGTAGATTGCTCTTAACAGAGAAAGCATTCCTGGATGTGGTCTGGGAGTGTTTCAAAGTTTGCCAAGGGCCTTACATGGAACAGAGAGCACCTTAGCTGTAGACTTGCAGCACACACAACCCCGAAGTTCTCTCACAGTGGCCTCATCAGCCTGCTCAGTCAGGGAAGTGACCAACACAAGGAAAGGCATGGCACAGAAGAGTCTAAGCAAGCCAAGCCAAGAGCCAAGACTTTGCACCCCAGGCTAACAATTTTGCCTTCATGTTTGACCCCAAATTGTGGGGACAATGACCTTTCAAGAGGCTACCATGAATGGTGCCCCATCGGCTAGTGCAGACGAGAAAGAAGAGATTTCACAGAGTGACTGTCTAAGTCAAGTTCTACCTTGGAATGGTTGATTAAGCTTTTAGATACAGTTTAAAGTATTTTTTGGAGAAAATGATATCTTATGGTGTTTGCAGGTTTGGCAGATTTGCAAAGGGGTCAGGATGTGGACTGAGAAAATTTCAAGTGCCATCGATAACTGGTCCAAATTCTAACGCTGTCTCAGCTTGTCCTGGGGTGACAATGAGACTCCATTGGCATTAAACCAGATGTGGGCTATAGCTCAATCTGTGACTGTTACTGAGTGACAGGGATGGTTATCCGAGATAATGTGCACAAATTACCTTTTGAGAGCACAAACATAAGACCTGAAAGGTCCTATGAATTCCTGTGCAGAGCTGATGCATTTCGATGAACTGACAATAAAGCTGATGAAGACAGAAATGACCTGGCTCTCTCTGGGTAGCACTGCACGTAAGGACTTTAGTATCACCAAGCCACCGAAGCCAGATGGGGCTGGGTCCGATTTAGCTCAGCCCTTGGCTGACTGGTAGTAGATAAGCGGCATACCCTCTCTGAGTTTATTCATCTGTAAAATGCAGACAATTGCACCTCTTGCAAAAATGCCATCTTTGCCCTCAATGTACTGAAGAAACCATACATAAGCCTCTGGGCAGGAGTAGGATGGGGGGTTCATAGTGTCTAGATGGCACTGGTTGTTCCCCAAGGTCCAAGTGGTCACTAATGCTATGGCTTCAGTGGCTACAAACCACTAGAAATGGATCACACAGTGACAGAGCCTGAACATCAGCCCCAGCTATCTCAGGGTTTCAGGCAAGTTACTCACTGTCCCCTTATTCCTTGCTAGTAAATGGAGACTATGGTAGTGTCTACTTCCTTGGGTTACTGAAAAAGATTAAGTGGCACAACTAACTAGTCCTTCGTGTGATGCCAAGAACGCAACATCACACAATCACTACTAGGCTTTGGGAAGTGTTTAGTCTCTGGCAGGAAAGGGAGAGCTGCCAGGATCAGCTGGGGAAGAGCACTGTGTAAATTTCCTGTGGCTGCTGTAACAAATGCCCACAAGTGCATCCTCCTATAGTCTGGGGAAGTCTGAATTGGGTCTCACTGGGTTACAATCAAGGTGTCAGCGGGGCTGCATTCCTTCTCAAAGGCTCTAAGGGAGAGGCCTTTTCCTATCCTCTTATAGCTCCTAGAGACCACTAGTATTTCTTAGGTCAAGGCTCTGCATCACTTCGACCTCTGCATCCACCATCACATCCCCTTCCCTGGACTCTGCCCTCCTGTCTAACTGGATCCTTGGATTAGAATGAGCCCAACTGGATAATCCAAGGTAATCTCCCATTCCCAAGTTCGTGGCTAAATCATGTCCGCCCTTGTGCCATACAGATTCACATCCTCATAGGCTCCTGAGATTCGGACAAGGACAGCTTTGGAGACATTATTTCATCTGCCACAAAGTAGCCTCCAGGAAATGTACTGGATGAAACATAGGGCCTTTCAAATAATGAATACAAGGTCTCTGTAGTACCATGGAAAAGCATTTTTAATGCAACATTTACCAAAAGAAAGGAATTGAAAGTCTGAACTGCACAACTGTAACATGAAAGAAATTGTAGGATGAGTCTACAAAAGCAGTCAGGTAATAACCACATTAGAAAATCACCCTGGTTAAAGGAGCTGACCAAGCATGTGTGGACTCTATGACCCTATGCAAATATAGAATAGAAGGCCTTGACTTAGGGGTTGAGGGTCTGAGTTCAAACGAGTTGTGTGGCTTGGCATGATTTACTTAACCCCATGGATTCTGTTTTCTCCATGCGTGAAATTAGAGTAAAAAATGACACTGCGCTCTGCTCCGTTCCTCTACTGAGAGGCCACTATATTCCCCTGATGTTAGGAGGTCACTGTGACTAGTTCACAGCTTCCTTCTTTCTGAAAATTATTCTTCATGGCAGATCACAGCCAAAGTGACTTATTGACACAAAAGTCCCAGACAGCCCTGTTGTTCATACTGTAGCACGGAGCATAAACCAAAGATGGGATTGTACCTCACACAACCTCCTGGATTTGCTCTTCCTCTTTCCTCTCTTGCCCATCATGGGTCCTTTCCTGAAGAGGACCTGTACTGCCACGCACTCTCAATCCCTGCCTCAGACTCTGGATCTTGGAGAACAGATAGAGCTGGTACTGCTTCCTGGTGCTGCTTATAGCAGGGTTCTGAGAGGGTTATCCCAGTACAGAACCAACATCATAGAAAAGTGGGAGAGAAAAACACATTCTTGGGTCCTACCACCTCATCCACAAACCTACTGAGTGAGGACCCTGGACAGTTGTAGGCCACCCACACTCATCTTCCAAGGAAGCTCAGATCCACAGCACCTGTTGATCTTGGACCTAGACATCACTTCACATATCGTGAGTCAGATAGAACCATATTGCTTTGATTCAAAAAACGTCCCATGACTTTTAGAAAGCCATATCTAGCCTATTGCCAAGGAAATCAAATCCAACATGTGAACTTCTATTTTGAAAATCCCATTCATTTAGGTGCCACTGTCATTGCTGATGCCCAAGGTGGTTGAGTTTGATGCCCCACTCTCTGGTCCTCTCTGCCTATAGAGTGTGTTTGTGTTTACTAGTATAGAAAGAGTTTTTTTCCTCTGGAAATGTTTGGAAGGATTGGACTTTTGTCTCCAGTGTCCAGAGCCACACACCCAAAGTCACTCTGGCTTTGAGGACGTTCCCAGAGACCCATGGAGCAATGGAACCCAGCTGGGGAGGAATGTGCGCAGCCCTCAGAATGAGCCACTACGATTATGAACTACTGGACTACACTGGAATATTTTGCTGAATTTACGCACCTATAATATTTAAATGACAATGAAAAACCCATCTCTGACAAAACTAAACAAAAAAGGGGACACAAATGAAGGACCATTTTGTATCTGTATATTCAAAACAATTAGGATAGATATATAGTTACTTTCTCTTAATTCAATGAATAGAAAGATTTGTACTAATAGTGTTTGTGGACAGGATATCATGTCTGCATCTTGTACAATGAATAACCACTAAGACAATAATATGTAATGTATTAGTTATTGAAACTGTCCTACTAATCGGTTTTGAAATTGTCTCATTGCTATTTCTTTCTCAATAAAATTATTTTAAAAAAGAAAAAGAACCTGAGCTGAGAAGTGAAGTGTAAGGGATGTTCTCTCTTTTTAGAAACTCCAAGAGAAGGTCACAGATCTGTGTTCTCAGACCCCAAAACGCCCCAAGAACTCTGCTAGCTGAAGGCATCCAGAAAAGTTCAGGTAAGGGGAAGGATACTTAGAATGACTTTCTTCTACTTTCTAAAAGTAGAAGCAGATGGGGAAGAAAGTGACACAGCCCAATGGATATCAAAGGCAAAGGTGAAAATGACTTAAGATAAAGCATAAAATCAGAAAACCTCAGAATCTCTGGAGAAGAGCAAGTAGCCCACCAGGGAATTATAAGATATGGCCAAAGCACCATATATCCTTGCTGTATGTCGCACATACAACACTGCTTGAGTTGGCTCTATAAAAACCGCAGACACCACCATAGTGTTGGCCAGATGAATCAATCTACCAAAGTAACATGCACAGAATGATCACTGGCCTGTGGCTTGTTTGGTGAGTTTACTTCCCTCCATAGCTGCATCAGTTGGACCAGAAGTGGAGAGGTGATTCAAACTCCCCCTCAATGCCTTCTTTCCCTTCTAGTCCTATAGACATCGAGGTTGACTCCATATTTGTCACTTAAGTTCAGTGACAGTTCAAAAATGGTAAATGATAAATTCAGGAAATAAAGCCATAACTTTTAAAAATTGTATTACATTATATTCCTATGCTTGTTGTATTTCATCATTATTGCTGTTAAGCTCTCACTGTGCCTAATAATACAGTATATTTTATCATAGGTCTGTATGTGTGAGAAAAAAAAAAAACATAGTACAAG